CCCAAGCCGTTCCCGGGCCAACCAGGAGATACCGAGAGTTGCTCGAGTGTGTCCAGCGACCTTCTCGTGACCATAGGTGAGGGTTGGAATTTAGCTCGACTCGCAAATTGAGCACTTTCGCCTTTCGGCTAAGCTCCTTTCTTCACCATAGACCGATACAATCCACATGACATCCGCCTGTCCATGCCCCGCGCCATTTTTCCCCTCGCTCTTGAACAGGACCCTAAAATACTTGAAATCCTCCACGGTGGTCTCATATTTGGAGGAAGGGATTCTCATGCCAACCGTTCACACTCGGCTGCAAACTGCAGATACAGAACCGAGGCCGCCAAACCGGATCCATGGCTTGGCTGTGCTTAGAAATGTTGTCCATGAACAGAATTTGTGACAAAGGGCAGCCTTGGAGTTCAACGCACACTGGAAATGAATCCGACATTCCGGCAATAATGTGGACCGAATTCGGACACCGACCGGTTGTATGGAGACTGTACAACCCATACATGGGGGCACCAATAACCTACACTCCTTCAGCACATCCCACAGGACTCCCCGATCGAGACAATCAAATGCCTTCTCCAAGTCCAGTGGTCGCCGGCCAATCACAGGGCAGATCGACGATCTACCAGTCACACTCACATTCACACCTTTGGACAATTTAGAGTTTTCAAAACCCCAAACATGAATGTTCTTGGAATGTGGGAGGAAGCGGAAGTCCAGGGAGGAAAAAACATGCAAACATGGGGAGAACATGCAAATGGCACACAGGCAGGCCGAAACCAAGATTCAAACCTCAGAAATGTGAGGCAGATGTGCTAACCACCCTTCCACTGTGCTGCCCGGATGATAATAATACAAGAAAAAGAAACACAATGAGGTCAGTTGCGCTTGGTGTTTGGGCGGTGAACATCTTCACTCTGTCTGTCATGTTTTATTGTGAAGAATATTAAAATGTTACTTAAACAACTAATACATTCATGATAGTGTCGTTTTGACTTTTGTACTAATAAAATTGTCCTTTTTTTTTTTTT